ATAAGAAATGTTACATACAGTGATATATAAAAAATATTTTTATAAATATAATATATGAGTATAAATTTATTTAACATATAGTTACATATAATTTTATTATTAATTTTGAAAGATATTTGACAATATATATTGTATGTCACTATATACTATATCTATACTTTTTAATAATATATACTAACATATATTATATTTATAGTATAAGTAAATTTTTAGTGACAAATATTATGTTATTATAGATTATGTGTCATTACATGACAATTTTATTGTAATGATGTTTTAGGTTAAATAGAAAATAACGAATGGGGAGTGAGTTTAGTGGAAGGGCAGCAAATCAAATGATGGAATCCCTCCTACAAAATACGTGTTAGAAATTTTATTTATAATAATTAATGTGGGCTACATATATTATTTATAATATTTATATTAGCTATTTATATTTAGCTAGACTCAATAAAAGTGATCTAATTTTAATGAGTCTTTAGATTGTCAATAGTAAAATTGATATGGGCCCAAATAGGTGAAAACCAAATTTAGCCTATTAGAAGTTAGTGAAAACCCTAATAGGTTTAAAATCGTAAAAGATGGTCACGTACCCAATATGTCAAATCTAAAACACACATCTCTTTGTCTCCCCATCAAAAGAGGAACATTAGGTCCTGTTGAGGAATTTAGTGATTTTATATATATTTTATACAAAATTTTATATACAAAGTATAAAAGAATATTTTATATATACATAATTTTATATTAATCCAAGATGATTTGATACTTCATTCTTATAAAACAAAATTGACATAATATATTCATTTCAAAATATACTAAAATATGAAGGCTTTGATTACCTTTAAGTTGTTGTTCAATTTTAAGAAAATTTGATATACACATATAAAGTGATATGAACTTTCAATCTAACGGTTGGATTTACAAAATTCACATTTAATATAGAGTTATTGAATGGTGTAATACTTAGTAAAAGTTACATCGGTGTTATTATAATCCCTCATATATAAAATTATCTACATAGAATGAAATAATTTGTTAAATTATTTTTCATTAGTTTATTTATTTATGTCGCTCATAGCATAAAAATTAGTATTTCTAATATATAATTTTGTATTGATTAAGATTTTTAAAAATATTATAGATGAAAATATTTTTTTCTCGATATACCTGTAATAGTGTTTGCTTAGATTTTAATATTTTTAGAAATATTTTTTAAAAATAAAAAAAAATTAAGTAAAAATATTATAGGTAAAGTACAGAAAGATTTCACTGTGTGCAATATTTCTCGGTTTTTAATTTCTTCTTTCAATACAATTAATGAGTTCTTTTGAACTGTAAGGGGAATGTTTTAGGAAAGCATAACGTTGGTTAATTGATAATGTTATAACCATTCGTTCATTGGTGTAGTGCCAAAAGGAGAAATCATATTTAATAGTAATAATCTGAACAATGGTGACAGCACAGACAATGGTACATCATAGTATTTGTTAAACCACACCTCTTGGCACATACATATAACCATTCTGAAAATAAGACACAGCAACATTACCGGATGACTTTTCATGAGAAACCAAGAAAACTAAAAGAACTTTATAGGGCTGATTGACTATATTGGGGCAGTTTCCCAACTTAATTACGTAAATGAGGCTGTTTTTAAATAATATACACTTTTGGAGCACTTTTAATGGTGTCGCTATGGGCCATAGCGAAACCAGTGACACGTGACATTTTTGTAACTCCAGCGAAGCCATGAAAGTCATATTGATAATGTCGCTACATCCTATAGCGACACAAAACAGCTCCACTAAAGTCGCTATAGCCTACAACGTCAAATATTTAATATAAAAAAATAATTTTCCTATAAGTAAATAATTTTTAAAAAAATAATTTGTGAAAGTGGCGCTATGGCCCATAGCGACACTGTGTCGCTATAGCCCATAGCACCACCCAGTTAAAAATTAAAAATGATAAAAAGAGAAAAAAAAATATATATATATATAACATAAAGAAAAAAATAGAAAAGATAATTATAGAAATTAATATTTAATTGATAATATGAAAGAAATTATTTTTAAAATTAATTTAGTTAATATTTAAAAAAAAAAAACAAAAAACATAGTGGTGTCGCTACCCATAGCGACACCACTTTTTGATTTTTTTTTAATTACGTTTTTTAAATGAAAAAAAAATAAGTTTATAAATAGAAATTATATTTATAAATAAGTTTATAGAAAAAATAAGTTTATAAATAGAAATTAATATTTAATTGATAATATAAAAGAAATTATTTTAAAATTAATTTAGTTAATATTAAAAAAAATGAAAAACATAGTGGTGTCGTTGCCCATAACGACACCACTTTTTGATTTTTTTTTTAATTTTTTTTAATTACATTTTTTAAAGAAAAAAATAAGTTTATAAATAGAAATTATGTTTATAAATAAGTTTATAAAAAAAATAAGTTTATAAATAGAAATTAATATTTAATTGATAATATGAAATAAATTATTTTTAAAATTAATTTAGTTAATATTTAAAAAAAAAACATAATGGTGTCGCTACCCATAGCGACACCACTTTTTAATTTTTTTTTAAATTTTTTTAATTACGTTTTTTAAAGGAAAATAAATAAATTTATAAATAGAAATTACGTTTATAAACAAGTTTATAAAAAAATAAGTTTATAAATAAAAATTAATATTTAATTGATCATATGAAAGAAATTACTTTAAAATTAATTTAGTTAATATTTAAAAATAAAAAAAACGAAAAATATAGTGGTGTCGTTGCCCATAGCGACACCACTTTTTGATTTTTTTTAAATTTTTTTAATTACATTTTTTAACGGAGAAAAATATATATTACGTTTAATTAAGTTTTTGTGACCCAGTTTATTTTAAATTTTAATTATACTATATTAAACTACTCGATCCCTAAATGTATTAATTTAATGATCTTGCATTAAGTTTGTGGATTTGTTTATTGATGAATTTGAATCTATTCCTAGACATCAAATAATCATCAAGCACTTTGATTCAGTTCAGATCACATATATGTTTTCCAACTATATTTGAAATCTAAATCATACAAAAGAAGCATTAAGCATAAAATCAAGTATCACCATGAATAACTGAATTTTACATATATAAACTTGAAAGAGTTTACATCACAAGTGAACTCAATCCCAACTGGGAGAGTTTAGCTATGCATAGTCAAAGAGAATACATAGTCAAAAAGAATGCAAATATACAACCCATAAATTGGAAGAAGAGAAGAAGAATTGATGATCCTCGTTCCCATGCAATCTTGTTCCTCAAATCTCCTTCATGTCCTCTTTTATCTCGTTTTCTCATTTTTTTTCTCTTACGTTCTCCTCCTTTTTTTTTTACATTCCCAAAAGGTATTTATATGGCTTTCAAAATAGAAGAAAATCTAAAGTTTTTTTTCCCACCGTTGCGGCAGTGGCTCATAGTTGTGACATTGGAGAGTACTTCAAGTTGAAGTGTGCTCCATAGCTTGAGCGCTGATTCACCACTACAGCGATGAAATACCCTATTTCCCAATCAACTCCAGACTTTCATAGCTCAAGCGCTGGCTAAGCGCCATGACACCCAAAATCTGTTGAGCCTCTATTGCTTCATCCCTGTAACGCTGGTTTGGAGCCATGGCGCCAATAATCTATTTAAGCTTCATATATCCACAAACACGGTAATGGCTTAAAGCTTGAACGGTGAAACTTAGAAATTCCTTTTTTTCTTGTAAAATAGAGAAAAATTGGTATTATCATTCTACCTTCTCTTATCTTGATGCTCCTTCTTAAATTATCAACACAAAGGGCAAAATATAATGTTATATATATATATTTATATATATAATTAAAAAATAGATTGCCTAATAAAGATAAAATTCATTAAATTCTGGCACTTATCACCCATCCACATTGGGCGTAGGTTGAGCATGGGCAAGCTAGAGGTTCTATGTGTAAATGGTGTCAAGTGCTTAAAGAGTGGTGCTAAGTGTGAGTTGACAAATGAGAAACTTGTTGTTATTTAACTAAGTGTTGAGAACAAGTGTAATATATTGATCACTCACATGATGAATGATGTTGTATGATTATAGTTCATTTATGCATTAATCTAAAATGATGTATAATAATGTTTTAAGTTGCTAAGTTGAAAGTTGATAGATAACTGGAGTTGATTAAGTTGTAAGGTGTAAGTTGTTTGTAGTTGATCAAGTTGTTATGTTGTTTAAGCATGTGGTAAAGTGATGCATGATATATATATATATATATATATATAATATTATGTTTAATATTTTATACGACTAGGCGTTACATATTGAGTCAAAAGTAATATAAATCAAATATCATCCTCAAAGATTTGTAGACAATTAGAACATGAATAGGCTATTATCAACTTGTATAAAGAACTTGATACAAGGATTAAGTGTCATGATTCCTTATACTTAAAATGTGTTACAACAAGCATAAAGAGTAGGATTGAGGAGAAATTCATATTTCAAAGATGTTGGGATCGATGTTCATTTTATAAACCCTAATGTTACTCTTTCTTATCAAAATTCATCCACTCATTCATGGTTTCAATCCACAAATATTCATTCAAATTGATTCCTTATACTCGAAATTCTAAGAACCTTAAATCAATACTCGATCCCTAAATGTATTAATTTAATGATCTTGCATTAAGTTTGTGGATTTGTTTATTGATGAATTTGAATCTATTCCTAGACATCAAATAATCATCAAGCACTTTGATTCAGTTCAGATCACATATATGTTTTCCAACTATATTTGAAATCTACAGGGTCAAAATACACGACGTAAAAGACCCTTTCTGTACTAGAGATCGCTATGGGCCATAACGACACCGTTGTAAACAACCCCAAAGGCGTAATTAATTACAAAACAGCCCCAATTACGTAATAAACTTTTAAAAGGACCCCACTTTGGTCAAAAAGGCAATATAGTGGCCAACATATCATATGTATATAATCTTCGAATTGATGATGCCATAGACAAAGTGCCTCCAACTAGCTAGAAATTATTATGTAGCATAAGTCTACTAAGTATACATGGTTACAACTAATCTCTATAACATATATTTAAGATTTTCAATTTATAAGAAAATTTTATAACACTGCTACATAATAAATATTATGCAGAGATTAGTTACGGATCACGCAGTGTATAACCACCTACTAATTTCTCCCAACGAGTACCCTGATCATCTGCCATCCCATAACGGTGACATGACATCTTTGCAAATGGTGTCATCCTCAGGGCCAGTGCATGATGTAGTATGAGTATAACGACAATTTTCATAGTTAGTTTCTATTTGACTTTGACATGATCCCTCACCAATCACATACGTAGTTGGGGTCATCATTCTGAGACCATCCAATTCCCTTGCCACTTCCTTCATGGTGGGTCTTTCTTCACCTCTAAGCCTCAAGCACCATTGAGCAATGTTAGCAACTTCCTTCACCTGGTCACTATTTCCCTCACTCACACAATCCTCAACAATTTGTAACAAGCAATCATCCTTCAGAGCCGAGAGGAAATACAAGGCTAAGTTCCTCTCCTCCTCAGAGGAAATACAAGGCTAGGTTCCTCTCCTCCTCTGGCATGTCAAAAGAGAGTGCCCTTCTTCCAGTTAGCAACTCAGCAAGCACAACACCAAAGCTATACACATCGCTTTTCTCAGTTAGTTGGCTGGTCTGAAAGTATTGAGGGTCAAGGTAACCAAGAGTTCCCTGAACCAACGTTGTCAACTGACACTTGTCACGTGGAACCAATCTCGAGGTTCCAAAGTCAGAAACCTTGGCTGTGTATTTCTCATCTAAGAGTATGTTAGTTGACTTGAAGTCCCTATGGATGATTGGTATGGAGGCAGAAGAATGCAAGTAGGCAAGCACACCAGCTGTTTCTGCTGCTATTCTTAGACGTGCATCCCAAGGAAGTGTGGTGTTTTCATTGTGAATGTGGTCAAAGAGGGTGCCATTTTTCACAAATTCATAAACCAGAAGTGGCATTTCTGTTTCTAGACAGCAACCTAGGAGTTTGACCACGTTTCTGTGGTTTATTTGGGACAGTACAACCACTTCATTGATGAATTGTTCAATCTGGCTGTGGTCTACTAGTTTTGATTTCTTTATGGCTACAACTTGGTCATTTGGAAGTATTCCCTTATAGACTGTGCCGTATCCTCCTCTGCCAATGATTCTGCTCTCATGAAAGTTTTCAGTGGCTTTCACTAGCTCTCTCGCTGTGAAAATTTTGGCTCTCTCAGATGATTCTTCCATGTTTGAAATTTTCTGCTGTAGCATTAAGCCTCCATTTTGCTTAAAATATCTTGCTGTGAGCCTCACTCTCTTTCTTTTGCGGAACACATAGTATAGCCAGCCACTACCAATTAACAACAGCACAAGGCCTATGCCAGTTCCTGCATTGTCAAAGTTGCTTGTTGAATCAGTCTTTCATTTCACTATTGTTTGCAAATATGTCATTCACAGATATCTTCGGGTACTTTAGGTTAAAGGTGAACCCGTAAGAAATTAATGTCTCATGTGTGTGGCAAATGAAAGGATATAACTTTTGGGGATATATTATTCAATTATTTTGAATGAAAGGGTATGACTTTTGGGAAGGAGTTATTATGTTTTAATGAAGGGATATTATTGTTTGATAGAAACAATATATATATAATGAAAGGACATGAATAGTCTCTATATCTGCCTATAAAAGTTTGTCTCTTAAAATTACCATCAAGAAAAGAGTACAAAGAAAAGATAAAGAGAAAGAGATAGAAAAGATTATTCTTACAAAATTCTACAAGATTCAAAGTCATCAATCTCATCATGGATCAAGGTTAGTGTTTCTATCTAATCTTATATGTGAAAAATATGAATTCTAAGATCCTATTTAATCATTCAAATATTATGTGAAATTTTACATGTGGTATGAGAGCATGTGTTTAAAAATTTATAGTTTTCCATCAATAATAATTTTAATGATTGCATGAATGTTTTCCATCAAGAATTTGAGAAATAATATTTTTCACTGCATTATTGTATTGGTGATTTGTATATGAATTGAGAAAATGAAACGATTTTCTGGGCTTGCATTTTTTGAAAATGAGAACGTTGATTAAAAAAAAAACGGTTCACTCATTCATGCCAAAACGCTGCGTCCATATCCCACTAATTAAAACAATTGGCTTGTTGTTTTCGGCATGATCTGCACGTGCAATCTATATATGTATTCCCGTAAATTGGAAATGAATCAAGATATTAATATTGAATTTGAAAGACAATGACATCTGTGCGTATAAATATCTATGTGATCATTGTATTATAAATGAATTGAATTTGAAATGTATGTTTTCTTGAGTATGATTGTGGTTTCAAAAATTAATTAATTGAAAAAGGTGATCGCAAATGGGTATTTAATTCAAAATACAATGATGCATAATGTAAATGATATATTTTAATTTGAAATTATATTAAGAGGGTTTGTTAATCATCAAAATGATCAAACTCTTAAATATATGCAAATTAGTTTCAAATTAAAATTATGTTTATGTCAAATAAATGTTTATATTTTGAAATTAAATGTATGAAATATTTGTAATCACTAAAGTGGTCAAATATTTATGTTTTATTTAATTTCAAACTAGTGACAATTTTATTTCAATTACCCATAACATGGATGCTAAATTATGAATTATTTGTTTATGGATATATTGAAGTTCATTATTATATGACAGTTAAGAATCACCCAAAGGTTGATTATTTGTTCTTATAAATAATGAACATAAATGTTGGTAGTGTAAATGCATTATTAGTTATATTTATATATCCAAAAATAATAAGTATTTCTAATTAATGCATATATCATTACCAAATTATGTATACATTTTTTTTGCATCATTATGTCAAGTATGGTATATTGATGGATTGCCCAAAGGTGAACATCAATATGCAATGTATGAAATTATGTTCTGAATTTATTTAGCATATTAGTATGTAACTCAAAGCATTAATATTTTAAATCTTTATTGCTTGCAGTACCTTTTACTTTGCATTCGCATTTCTCATATGTTCCAAATTTTAATGGACTTAATTTCTCTAAATGGAGTGAGCAAATTCAATTTTACCTTAGGGTAATGGATTTAGATTTGGCTCTTCGTGAAGAGAAATCAAGTGCTATTACTGATTCAAGCACTAAGGAAGAGAAAGTTCATTTTAAAAATTGGAAAAAGTCAAACAGATTGAGTCTGATGTATATGCGGATGAGTATTGCTGATAACATTAAGCGCTCTTCCTAAAACTGAAATTGCAAAAGAAATGATGAAGTTTGTGGAAGAGCGCTCCCAAACTGTTGATAAGTCTCTTGCTGGGACATTGATGAGTACTTTAACCACCATGAAATTTGATGATTCTTGTATTATGCATGAATATGTTACCGAAATGGTAAACATTGCAGCAAAACTTAAGTTATTGGGAATGAAAGTGGATGAAAATTTCCTTGTGCAATTCATATTGAATTCATTACCGTTTGAGTATGGTCCTTTCCAAATGAACTATAATACCAGGAAAGATAAATGGAATGTGCATGAATTGCATAGTATGTTAGTTCAAGAGGAAACTAAACTTAAGAATCAAGGAAATCATTCCATTAATTATGTTAACCATCAAGGAGCTAGAAAGAAATTTGGCAAGAAACATGACAAGAAAGGGAAGGGACTCCTAAAGATCAATGAGGCTTCTTCCTCTCAAATCCACAAGAAGGAACATCATGGCAACAAATGTCATTTTTGTAAAAAGGATGAGCACTTCCAAAAGGATTGTCCAAAACGTAAGGCTTGGTTCGAAAAGAAAGGTAAGCCTAATGCTTATGTATGTTTTGAATCAAATTTAGCTGAAGTTCCTTATAATACTTGGTGGATTGATTCTGGATGCACAACTCATGTTTCTAATACAATGCAGGGATTCCTTACGACCCGAACCACAAAGCCAAATAAAAAGTTTGTCTTTATGGGCAATATAGTGAAGGTTCCAGTGGAAGCAGTTGGGACTTATCGTTTAATCCTCGACACTGGACATCATTTAGATTTGTTTGAAACTCTTTATGTACCTAGTATTTCTAGGAATTTAGTTTCTTTATCTAAACTTGATGTTAATGGATACTCTATTAAATTTGGAAATGGATGTTTCAGTTTGTATAAACATACCCATTTAATTGGGAGTGGTATATTATGTGATGGATTATATAAGTTAAATCTTGATAATCTTTTTGCTGAAACACTTTTGACCTTGCATCATAATATTGGCACTAAACGTGGTTTAGAGAATGAACATTCTACTTACTTGTGGCATAAACGTTTAGGACATGTTTCCAAGGAAAGATTACAAAGATTAGTGAAGAATGAAATCCTTCCAGATTTAGATTTCACTGATCTGAATGTATGTGTGGATTGTATTAAAGGTAAACAAACAAAATACACAAAGAAAGGAGCCACAAGAAGTAGTCAGCTTCTTGAAATTACACACTGATATTTGTGAACCTTTTGATGTGAACTCTTTCAATAAAGAGAAATACTTTATCACCTTCATCGATGATTATTCACGTTATGGTTATGTCTATTTGCTACATGATAAATCTCAAGCTATAAACGCCTTAGAGATTTACATTGAAGAAGTAGAAAGACAATTAGACAGTAAGGTAAAAATTATTAGATCTGATCGGGGTGGTGAGTATTATGGAAGGTGTGATGAAAGAGGACAACATCTTGGTCCCTTTGCTAAATTCCTTGAAAAGCGTGGCATATGTGCGCAATACACAATGTCAGGTACACCGCAGCAAAATGGTGTATCAGAAAGGCGTAATAGAACCTTGTTGGATATGGTTAGGAGTATGTTAAGTAACTCTTCTTTACCTATTTCATTGTGGACTTATGCTCTAAAAACTGCCATGTATTTGTTGAATAGGGTTCCTAGTAAGGCAGTTCCAAAGACTCCTTTTGAATTGTGGATTGGAAGGAAACCTAGTTTAAGGCACCTACATGTTTGGGGGTGTCCGGCAGAAATTAGATTTTATAATCCAAAAGAAAAGAAATTGGATGCTAGGACAATCAGTGGATATTTTATTGGTTATCCAGAAAAGTCAAAAGGGTATAGATTTTACTGTCCAAACCATACTACAAGGATCATTGAAACTGGGAATGCTAGGTTTATTGAAAATGGTGAAGTCAGTGGGAGTGAAACACCACGCAAAGTGGAGATTCAAGAAATGAGAGTGCAAGTTCCATTAACTTGTATCTCTAATAAAGTTGTTGTTCCTCAAGTTATTGAACCAATTAATAACCATGAAGAACAACAAACTAATGATCCCATTACTCACAATGAGGTTGAAGTAAATGAACCTATAGTAGAAGAACCACAACAAATAGCATTAAGAAGATCACAAAGAGAAAGGCGATCTGCTATTCCTAATGATTATGTGGTTTATCTACAAGAGTCAGAAAATGACTTAGGAATTGAAAATGACCCAGTTACATTTTCACAGGCCATAAATGGTGATAATGCTGAGAAATGGTTAGATGCCATGAAAGCTGAGTTAAAATCTATGGAACATAATAGGGTTTGGGACCTTGTTGAGTTACCAGAAGGTTGTAAGAGAGTTGGTTGCAAGTGGGTCTTTAAGACCAAACGTGACTCTCATGGTAACTTAGAATGTTACAAGGCCAGACTAGTTGCTAAAGGATTTACTCAAAAGAATGGCATTGATTATAAGGAGACATTTTCACCAGTCTCTAAGAAAGATTCTCTCAGAATTATCATGGCATTAGTAGCTCATTATGATTTGGAGTTACACCAAATGGATGTGAAAACTGTCTTTCTAAATGGAGATTTAGAGGAAGATGTATATATGGATCAACCAATGGGATTCATAAACAAAGGAAAAGAACACATGGTGTGTAAACTTAAGAAATCAATATACGGACTTAAGCAAGCTTCCCGACAGTGGTATCTCAAGTTCAATGATACCATTATGTCCTTTGGATTTAAGGAAAACATTGTTGATCGATGTATATATCTAAAGGTCAGTGGGAGTAAGTTTATTTTTCTAGTTCTGTATGTTGATGACATCTTGCTTGCAACTAATGATCTTGGTCTTTTAACTGAGACTAAGAAGTTTCTCTCTAGAAATTTTGAAATGAAATATGGGTGAGGCAAGTTATGTGATTGGAATAGAAATATTTCGGGATAGGTCACAAAGATTGCTAGGCTTGTCTCAGAAAGCATATATTAATAAAATTTTAGAGAGATTCAGAATGGATAAATGTTCAGCATCTCCTGTTCCAATTCAGAAAGGAGACAAATTTAGTCTCATGCAATGTCCAAAGAATGATTTGGAACGGAAACAAATGGAAGAAATTCCTTATGCATCTATAGTTGGGAGCTTAATGTATGCTCAGACTTGTACGAGACCAGATATTAGCTTTGCAGTTGGGATGTTGGGAAGATACCAAAGTAATTCTGGTATAGACCATTGGAAAGTTGCAAAGAAAGTTCTAAGATATTTGCAAGGTACAAAAGAGCACATGCTTACTTATAGGAGATCTGATCATCTTGAGGTGATTGGATATTCAGATTCAGACTTTGCCAGATGTGTAGATACAAGAAAATCTACATTCGGTTATTTGTTTATGTTGGCTGGAGGAGTTATCTAATGGAAAAGTGCAAAGCAGTCAGTCATTGTTGCATCCACTATGGAAGCTGAATTTGTGGCATGCTTTGAGGCCATGGTTCAGGCTAAATGGCTACGAAATTTTATTTCAAGACTTGGTGTAGTCGACAGTATTGCCAAGCTGTTGAAAATTTATTGTGATAATTTCGCAACATCTTCTTTTCTAGAAACGACAAGTATTCTAAAGGTGCTAAACATATGGAATTGAAATACTTTGCCGTTAAAGAAGAGGTTCAGAAATATAGAGTGTCAATAGAACACATTAGCACTAATCTTATGATTGCAGATCCTTTAACTAAAGGGTTACCGCCCAAGACATTTACTGGTCATGTTGTAAATATGGGTATTATGTTAGCTAGCAAATGTTGAAAATTATTGTAATGTCTTGTATGTTTGACACTGAGTTCACTAATGAAAAAGTTTCTGAATATTTTCTGTTTTCAAACTTATGTACACGTGTATGAATGTTAATATTGGAAATAATTTGTCGTTGAAATTGACATTATTGTTAGACAAATTATGTACTTCCTATTAAAGTGTCATGTTTGAAAGAAGACTAATATAGTAGTACATGGAAGGGACTATGTCAAATATGTGATGTACAACCGTCATGACTCTTATTAATTCTTGTTCTTAATTATGACTTATGATATTATAAATGTATGATACATTTATTCTTATTAATGCGCATTATGATTAATATTTTATCAAACTATGATGTTGAATTTTGTCACATGAGCCAAGTGGGAGAATGTAAGAAATTAATGTCTCATGTGTGTGGCAAATGAAAGGATATAACTTTTGGAGATATATTATTCAATTATTTTGAATGAAAGAGTATGACTTTTGGGAAGGAGTTATTATGTTTTAATGAAGGGGTTATTGTTTGATGGAAACAATATATATATAATGGAAGGACATGAATAGTCCCTATCTCTGCCTATGAAAGTTTGTCTCTTAAAATTACCATCAAGAAATAAAGAGTACAAAGAAAAGATAAAGAGAAAGAGATAAAAAAGTTTCTTCTTACAAAATTCTACAAGATTCAAAGTCATCAATCTCATCATGGATCAAAGTTAGTGTTTCTATCTAATCTTATATGTGAAAACTATGAATTCTAAGATCCTATTTGATCATTCAAATATTATGTGAAATTTTACAGAACCATCCTTTGAACCTCATTTTCCATAGCAGATACTAGTCATCACATTTCAAACTATCTACTTGCAAACAAATGTCACTTCTATTACTAAGATTTGGAGAGCCGTGAATTTAGATTTGTCCTATAGAATATCTATTGATATAGAGTTGCAAAACGTCAAAATGCAAAAGGCATAGCAATAGACTACAAATGAGAAGAAAAACCATGAATGTTCAGAGATGAAAAAAATGAACAAACAGATAAAAGATCTTAAAAATGACACGTACCTATCACAACCTCATTAACCACTTGTAGATCCGAGACACAACCACTTCCTCCTTTTCTACCATCTCCCTGGTACCTTTTGCTCTTGGGACAAGAACAATTATAGCTCCCAGGTAGGTTAATGCAAATATCTGAACATTCATTTAGGCTAGGATTGGCACACTCATCAATATCTAGTAAAGATATAAGCAAAAAAAAAAAAATATTATCAACCAAACAAATTATAAATTAGACTAGTTACAACTTTGTGGAACATAATCCATACCTTCGCATCCACCATGCAGGTATGCATTTCCCACATAACCTTCTAAGCATCTGCAAAGGTACCCAGGTCCATTGTCAGAGTCAATACATACACTATTTTCTTGGCAAACATAACGAGTCAAATTCTTCTTAGCTTCTTCACATGTTTGATTTCCAACGGCCCAATCAAGCACCGTGGGAGCGGTTCTTCTCTCATGCTGTTTGATGAAGTCATCAGTGGAAAACTTGAAAGAGTCCTCTTCCACCAAAAGAGAGTAGCTACAAGGAATATTTATATCCCTATGCATGAAATTTGATCTCAGGACACGAGCTTGATATGCCAAAATGTTTTTTGGGATAGAGGTTTGGCAGAAACCAACGCCAAACCAGGATCCGTTGGTTGAACTTTCTACACTACTACAAAGTGAAAAACATCCTCCAGCTGAGTAATTTTTCCCAATTGTTGCATTGATGGTTGAAAGGGTGTCACATCCAATTCCAATGAACTTGTTCTGAGTATATGAGAAATGGAATGCTTGCAAAGTCATGGATGAATTCCCTGAATCCACTAGCACACCCTTTTCATCATAGCAGACATAAGCTACGGGGGATTTTATCCTCAAATGGCCATTCAATGACACCTCTAAGATCTCAATATTTTTGGTCAAATTCCACAGAAATGGTTTGGGAGGGTTGTGACTTGTGTTACAAGCAACATAAAAGTTGTTGTTCATGTAACAGTCCTCAGTTGTACCAAAAGGGTACGGAATGTTAACACTTCCACATTTTTTTGGGCAGCTAGGATGAATCGTTTGTGACATTGCTGAGATCATTATTAGCAACCAAGCAACTAGCGCAACTTTTGTATTATCCCGTGATGAAGCCATTTCTGCATGCAAATCATCATCAAGAATTTTGAGATTATGCAATTGCTGACACCCCCATGAATTTTGAATCGCTCAAAATTCAGGCTTCAGAAGTCAGGCCTCAGCTGTTACTTCTTCTTTTTTAACAGTTATTATTATTATTATTATAGTACGTTGGATTTGTCTTTTTGTTTTAGGAGAATAAATATCCTTTAGATACCTTGTTAACTAGTGTACCTAGGCTTCTATTGGACCTACAACTTCTTTTTATTTGCTTAGAGAGCCACTACGTAGAAGTATCATTGTCGTGGAGTCAAGCTCACATACAGCGGGTATACAGGCTAATTAACTCGTTAAAGATACCTTGTGTAACAGTGATTTGAGAAAGTTTGTGCTATGTTTTTATATTGGTAAAAAGTGAAGTGGTGGACAGGGGGTGAAATCTTTGTCAAAGGATGTACTTTCGGGGTCAGTAAAGGTCACTAGAGAACTTGTAAAACCTTTGGTATATATGGTAAAGGCAGTGTTGGAGCTTATATTGTTCCGTTGTCCAATGAAATTTACGAGGCCGTTGCGAATTGCGATTAGATCATAGGCCTTGAAAAGGAAAAAGAATTATTATTTCTAGGATTCCAAGTTTTTTAGGTAATTGGGCAGTTTTTTTTGTCACAGGTAATTGGGCTGTTCAGTTGCTTTTATAAGGTGAGTTCGTCACCCACGTAGACATCAGTCCAATACAAGACAGAAAATCTTTTAGGCTGGGCATGAAAATATACTCGGTGACATTTGATTGTGCAACTTGAATATGTTCTCTTTACTTGGGTGCCAAAACTGTTCCGAAATTATAACTACACGAGTGTTCGGAGCAGAGTTTAAAAAATGGGACCGGTAACCAAATCGGTATTAATTAGATTGCATGAGCTGATTTTTAATATTTTTTTAAATATTCATATTAAATATATTTTATACTTATAAATTTCAATAAATTTATATCTTATTTTAAATTTAAATTTTCATCTTATTTAAAATTATCTTTATTTTTATTGTGTAAAACAAATACATAAAAAAATTACATGTTAAACTGTATATTAATATAAATTAAAAATATAAATAATATATACATATATAATATACTTGCAATTGGCATCACAAAATAATATATGTAATATCTACATAGATATTATATTATTAAATATATAATTTAAAATTAATAATATACTATAAAAGTTATTTAAGTTGTATATAATATAAGCAAATACATTAGAACAAATGATCATTGTAACGTTATATTTGATAAGGTTCTTTGCTCTTCCATGAGCATGATTCAATTCTCATTGTTATTTTTATAGTTTGTGGTCCCTTAAAAAAAATTGCGGTTGAACTAGTTTGATCCACTAGTTTGACCTACCGATTCATTGGTTGAACCAAAAAATTAATCAGTTCACTTTGGCTTGTAACAGGTCGAATGTATAACTGATTTAATTCAAGATTTGGACCATCTAGATCATCAATTCTCGATTCAACCAGTATGACCGACCGATCCGAACCAATTTTTAAAACACTAGTTCGGAATACTTGTAAATGTATATTTGGCTATTTCCTCGCTGATTATTTCACCTAAACCCACAAAGTAATCGAAGTACACTACATGGATGAAGCAATAACCCTTTTTTTTATATAATCTTTTTTACTTATCAACAAAATAAAATTGCTCAAAAAATATGTAGCAAAAAGTTAAAATAACATAATTATCCAGCTAAATTTAACATATATTTAATTTTAATGTATTGATAAAAAAAAAATCCTTTAAAGAATAATATTATTATTAACATTGAATTAATAAAAAAAATTTGATTATCACAACTATTACTTATAGGAACACTGAATATTTTAATAATTGACTAATTAAGTTTACACAGACTTACTCCGTTTAATAACTCATGTTCTATATTAAATTTAAACGATCCAACCGTTTAATTTAAAGTTCTTAATGCATAAATCAAGTCTGCAAATTTTTAGAAAATTTGAAAATCATTTGATACTTCATTTCACTAATTCAAATTGACGGATAATCATAAACTCATTTTATACATTGATTTGAATTAATGAAATGAAGTATCAAATCACTAGTACAAAAGATGTATTCCACGTCGGATATTTTGAGCTTTTTACGTCAGAAAAAATACCGACGTAAATGTGGGAGACGTAAATTTACGTCGGATCTGTAAAATCGACGTAAATTTACGTTGGACATTACCAAATCCGACGTGAAAAAGTAGTAAAAAAACATAAGAATGCAAGCAGAATGGCCCGTTCTGCTTGCAAAACGGCCTGTTCTCCAAGCAGAACGGCCTGTTCTCCAAGCAAAACAGCCCGTTCTTCAACCATAACGGCCTGTGCTCCAAGCAGAACTGGCCGTTCTGCAAGTAGAACAGGCCATTCTGCTTCGTAGAACAACCCAAAAGAAAACGCCAATGACCTATACAAATAGAACAACCAAAAAATTGAATAAAACAGATAGCCACAGTAGCAATGCGAAGTAGAAAAGTGTTAACGAAACAATGCGAAGCAAAAAAGTGTTAACGAAACCTTGATTCATACCTGATGAGCTGCAACAGTGTGCGAATGAGTAACAAAGAGTTCACCCGTCTGCAAAAGAAAAAAAAATGATTCAGTAACAAAGGAGAGGGAGAGGGTTTACAGAGAAAAAAATGAAAAGTGATGAAGAGTGAATGCGCGCGGTGTGCCTCGCACTCTCATATTCAATTTCGCGTCCTTTTTTTACGTCGGACCCTAACAGGTCCGACGTAAAATGTCAAATCTACGTCGAACACAAGATACGTCCAACATAAATTTGACTTTCTACGTCAGACCATACCAGGTCCAACGTAAAAAAGTTCGCGAAAATTACAAAAATGTCACCGCGTCTTTTTTATGTCGGATTTTCGTATTTCTAACATTAAAGAGGTGACGTAATATACTAATTTTCCATTGGTGAATGATTTTCAAATGTTTTAAAAATTTGCAGATTTGATCTATGCATTAAGAACTTTAAATTCAACGGTTGGATCATTGAAATTTGATGTAGAACATGAGTTATTGAACGGAATAAGTCTAAGTAGACTTACTCGTTAAGTAAACGGATGCCTCCTCTATATATATATATAGGGTGCCAAAACTGTT